AGGGGCAGAGAATGAATCCCAAGCAGGCTTCGTGCTGTAAGTACAGAGCCTGATGTGGGCCTCTCTCTCACAAACCATGAGATCATGACCTGAGCCGAAATCAAGAATTGGATGCCCAACAGACCAAGCCACCCAGATGCCCCTAGTGTGGAAGAAGCTTTATTACCATCCCAATTTTAAGGTGAAAAGGTGAGAAAAAAGAGCCCACAGTCAGATTGATGTTCTAGCTGAATGTACCCACCATAAAGGACTACTGTGAGCCTTAAATGAAACGATACATAGGATGTATTGATTATCAGTTGCATGCAGGCAACAGTAAGTGCCCAGTGAATATTACTATTAGCTTTCTTCTACACAGTCTAATTTCTTCCTTAGTTGTTTAAAGTTCCTGAGGACTGAAACAATTTTTTTTCACCTTGTATCTCTAGGGACTAGAAGAGTACCTGGTAATAACAATTAAACTACCTGAATAGCATTAAATCATTTATGACACCCTCCACTCCCTGCAAGCCTTAGTCTTCCCCCTTTTCCAATTTTCTCTGAACTCCTTGTGACTTCAGTTTCTTGCTTAGTTAATGAGCTCATCCACAGCTTTCCTCCTCCTCTCTCCATTTACTGTACCTTCAATAAGTTAGCTTCTCTGTATTCACGTATTTTGATGATTCTGCTTCTCAGTCATCTCATTTTTTTTTTTTTAATTTAAATTCAAGTTAGTTAACATATAGTGGAATGTTGGTTTCAGGAGAATTTAGTGATTCATCACTTACATATAACACCCGCTCATCCCAACAAGTGCCCTCTTTAATGCCCATCACCCACTTATCCCATCCACCCCACCCAACACCCCTCCAGCAACCCTCAATGTGTTCTCTGTGTTTAAGAGTCTCTTATGGTTTGCCTCCCTCTCTGTTTTTATCTTTTATTTTTCAGTCATCTCATTCTTGAACAGAGATATAAAATGTTTCTTTTCATCCTGAAAATTTTAGGCGGTAGCAATCACAGCCCCTGTGACCTGGCAGAGTATTTCTTTATACCATCCATGTTACTTGCTCAGAAATGGGTCTATTTCATAAGTTCAGGTTTTTGGCCAATGTATTCACTCTTCAAAGCAGATCAAGAAGCTGCCAGAAGTTCTGAATTTGATTCCAAGTTACTGTGATTTAGAATCAAGCCTATACGTAAATAATATTTAAATCCCTTCCTTCGTGTCTGCACCTTAATACTGCCATGTGAAATAAAATCAAACTCCAGAAAATGTATTTACTTTGCCCTCACAAATTAAATAGGCTGGAAAAAGACCCTGAATTATCTACATACATATGTACGCTCTAGTGAACACACACTCTATGAAGTTAGGGACAATATGCGTATAATACCTCCCTCTGTACATGTCTCTTTGAGACTTCACAACACAATTTTCCAAACTGCACACCTTCTGCCAATTCTACCATACATCTGACATTATGCAGACTGGAAATTCAAGGAGCTCACTGTATTTTAAAAACCCCACAAACAATAAAGATGAAGGATTTATACTCACAGGTGGCTCAGAAAATGAGTAGGACTCATACTTGGGGTAGACAGCACAGAACTCAAGAGAACTCTTCCTTTCAGCAGGAAACTTAGCTTATGAGATATCCTGATAACCAGAATAGATATTAAAGAAAGTTAACATCTTACCTAACTTTATTGTTCCATTGTTTTCTTTGTATTGATCTATGCAGTTTACAAAGACTTCCTCTCAAGCCATTAAAACATGACAAGGTAGGAAAATATCAGTAAAACACTTACTACCATAATTATGATTAAGATACATAATATTCTTAAGAGTTTCTTTTCAACAGACAGAATATGCCAGTAGTTCAAGGATACATTAGATCCTTTCAAATTCAATGTCATGCCATGAAAAGTAGAAAAACACAACGTGAGATAATTCCTTGAATCCAGTGTTTTCAGTCGACTGAACTCTTTTTTAAAAGCAAAATTATCTGTATTTCTGTAAAATTTAGAGAGAAATTAACATCATTGTCTCTGTACACCACCCAGATGTAATCAGTGCCATTTCCAACTGTGGAGTTGGTAGGTAGTCTTCAGGGTTCCATTAGGGCAAATCACTTTTTCTGGACTAAGGTAGCTTATATTTTTGAATCTCTTTGAAATGGTAGCTGAACTTGCACAGAGTGAACCCCAATGAATTCTGAGAAGGGAAACATACAGCAGTCATGAGAGACCGGTAACATTTAGTAAGTTAACATGACTTTATAAGTTCTGATGTCTTGGGGTACCTGAATCCAGACATCTTGGATCGTCTGGATGTGTCTGGGGTCAACTGGGTACTCGGGGCAGAATGGTTCAAATTTGGGTAAGAAGATCTACAATCGATCGAATTGAATTAATGGTTCTTTTGATATGAGAACATAGACCATATCTGATTCCAGGAGCAAAATGAAAACACAATCTCTAAGAAAATGAAGATGATGTGTCTAAAGCAGGACTTTTTGGTAAATGATAAGATTAGGAAAACATAAAAGAAAAAAAAAAACACCCTCTTTTTCTAGAAAGACTGACCATAGTCTATGACTAAAAGTTCAAAGTTCCAATTCAATATTAAGTACATTTTATAAAATTTCCAAGCTTAAGCAGAAATTGGGTTCATTAACAATTCTACAAAGGGCAATACTGCTCTGGAGGGACTGTTAACTCTACAGCATGTATATTTTTTATTATTTAATAGACAGCATGGACTTCATACATATCCATTATCAGTGCCTTGAAAACCAAACAACTTTAAAAGTTAGCAGCAGTTTCTGCAAGTACAAAAATACACATTTATTACATTACATATGGTAGTAAAATTTGTCAAGATATATTATACAAACTCAAAGCATTTTAGATAAAGCATCAGTCTAATATATTATAGATTGACAGAGTATAATAAAATGACATGTAGTCTGTCTTCAAATCATACAATATAATACTTTACAGCAATATTAACAAACTATTCACATGAAATATTACAGGAGTATCTAAGGGAACACAGCGAATAGGAATGGTTATTGAAAACCTCAGCATCTATTTTCTTCTATGCTTCAAATTGGGTGGATAATTTTCTACCCACCCATATGAAAGAAAAAAGGACAGAACTATTATTTTGTAAGTGGAGAAACAATTTCTTCCAGAAAGACACTCCAAGCTGTAAGAATGTCATTCACATCTTGCAGTTCCAACAGTAGTAAGCCCTAAGGGTAAGGGAAATGAATCCCTATTGCCTTTAGATATTATACCACAAAAGATGCATATGGACACTCAGGAGTCTAAATACAGGAGTGGCTGTCTATAAGGTACAATCTACTTCACATCTGTGACTGAGATGGCCAGTGTCATGAAGGAGCTCTTTGGAAACAGAGTTCTGAAAGTTAATTACAATGCTTAGGGCCAACAGGGGCCATGTCCCACAGAGGTAGGCAGCACTTACAGCTAATACTGAAAGGACTTCTACTTTACAGAAAACATTATTATTTTTTTTCTATAACTGAAAAAGGAAACCTTTAGGACAACAGGGAAAGAACATTTGACATGAAAGTTTCCTAGTGGCTAAGAAAAATAATTGGGGATAAGCTAGTTTGTGGGAGAAAGGTCCATCTGATGGTGAATTAGAGAGACTAAATGGGTTCTAAGCAACTTCTTGTAAGTAGCTAAAATGAAGGGAGATGCACATCCATTCCTGATTCTATCCTTTCACACTGGCTGGGAGGCCTAAGAATCCGTGGAGATAATCCAGGAGATGTACAGGTATGACCTTTAAGGTCAGAGAGGGGAGAAGCATTAATGATGTGAGATAAACTAATGGGATGTAAACCATGAATACTCTGGGACAAAAGTATATAAAACTTGTGGAGGTAAGAAAATCCAAAGCCAATGACTGTCTGAGAGGAAGGCCTGACTGCTACTTTGGTGGGGATTCCATTCTGTGACTCTTTGTAAACTGCTAACTTTAAAACCGCTCTCTCAACTGCCAGTGGCCGTCAGAAAGGGGATGATTTATCAGTAATTGTTTCTGGCTGCTAATCGAAGAGGCAGGGCTGTGGAAAAACACTACCCAACACAGCAAAGAGGAGCCTCCATTGAGTGCATGCTGGCAGCAGCTTCGTGTGGCCCTCTTTGCCTCACTAGGACAGCGGATGAGGTCAGGAGGTCGCCTCCTAATAGGAAAAGTTGCATTTCTGGAGAATGTTCCTAGCACTGGCATCTTTAAAAAGGACCCTGAAACAAGCAACCATTTCCTTCTTCCTCCTCACAGGAAGGAAGAACAGTGGAACACCAACAGAAAAACCAACCAACCAACACAACCAACAAATAAACTATCATACTCATGGCTCTTGGATATTCTAGTTTATTCCATTCTAGCCGCATCAATGGGCTGACTCCTGGAATCTTCCTGTGATGGCACGTGACTAGAGAATGTCACAGAAATGGCTAGTGGCTTGGATTCAGGGAAACGTTTCACATGATTTCCTTCATTACTGGACATACTTTCTTTTTTTTAATACTTTGATTAGTGGCCTTTTCTTGCTTAGTTATTAAACATATTCCACGGAACACGGACGTTTCTGTGCACCCTCCCCGTTTCCACAGTCCTTAGTCTTCACTTATGATATCCTGGCCTCAGAATATGAATCTCACTCAACATGTAGGCCATATTCTCCATACAGAAGATGTCTTCTCTGGCCCCCTGCTAGTTATCTCTAAAAACACATGATAGGACCAATCCCATGCTCTAATAAGGAAAAGCCTCCCAAACAGGAGCTGAAATTTGTTAGTCTAAACTTTTTGCCAAATAGTCTCAGTAAAGAGAATTCTTTTGTTGTCCTAAGTGTTAGCAATGATTATCCTTATGCTACCCATCCCACGTATTTTATACAAAGGGGTCATAGTACTCTTGTCTTTATGTCATTATTAGCCCAGTTTCTGCTCTTGTACATAACACGTTCTTACTATGGTTAAACGTCTTTGGTTAAATGCTGGTCCCCAATATCACAAACCACTGTAGGCCCCGAGTCTGGGCTGGGTGCATCGTCCACAGTCAAAGAGCTGGGTGAGGATCTCTTACACAGCAGAGTACCAGGAGAGCGCTGCTCACTGCTGTCTCCTTCCTTGTGTGACTTCACACACAGCTTGAGTCCATCCTCCACCAGGCTGAATGGAGAGCTACAGTGCTTCTCTGAGTCCTGGCTGGGGTACGAGCTATACCACTGGGCTGTCTGCACAGCTCCAAGTCCTTCTGTTGCCCTTTGGGGCATGTCTTCCTGTGTCTCTTGCAGTGGGCTGGCTTCTGAAATACCAGAAGCATAGGGAGGTGGCTCCATGGGTCCTTTTAGAGAACTTACTTTCTTTTCCTCTGGTCTGGACGCCCTTGCCTTCTTTTTGAGGGACCAGTTTTTCAAACTGGCCACACCATTTCTCAACCATGTGCTTGGGTGAAGAGTTACAGAATGTATTTGTGAGTGCCACTCTACAACATCCTTTTTTGTATACGCCAGGCGGCTGCTGGCCTGCCCTGATGAGGGACCAGGAGTTGCAGAAATGAGGCTGGAATTGCTAAAATCAGAAGCAAGCTCTTCCTGTTTTCTTGGAGCTTGAAAAGTGCAATCTATTGGAGAGGAAGTTTCAGTGGGGGTAAACACAGAGTGTTCCGAAATCTGAGAAAAAGCGCTGTCTTGGGAGCTCACTGACGAGCCAGAGGGGGAAGTGCCTGGGGAGGACAAGCTGGAGTAGCTGGTCCGCGGGCAAACATTTAGTCTTGGGGGTAAGCCCTTCTCGGTGTTCCTGTTTGTGCTACTGCTCTTGCCCACCTCAATCCCCATCACCAAACTCTGGTTAATGAGCTTTTGCCCCTCCATTTGCAAAGACTTGTGCCGCTCCAGATAAGCTTCCTCTCCGTGCAGGAGACCGGCTCCGCAGCTGGTTTTATGCTGTTTCTTTGAATAAATTCCCCTGAGATAGGTCAGTTTGCAGTGCTGGTCATCCATGCTGGGCTCCGAGCAGCGCCGGTGCCTCCGCGAGCTCTTGAGGGCATCCGCTGTGTGTGTCGGGGAGTATCCAGATGTGTCTGTGCCGAAGGGCTGGCTCCCGGGATGGTCCTGAGACATGTGACTGTAAGATGCCACAGAAATGGCCACTGGCTTGGATTTAGAAAAGAGTTTCACATGATTTCCTTCATTACCAGACAAGCTTTTCTTCTTAACATTTTTATTAGTGGCGTTTTTCTTGGTATCAGTGCCTGCGACTAAACTCTGTTTAAAACATGTCTTACCCTCTTCCTGGAGGGGTTGATTCTGCTTCAGATAATCCTCATCTTTTCGAGAGAGAATTGCATCACAGCTGGACTTGCGTAGCTTTTTCTGATAAAATTCCCTGAGATACGAAAGCTTAGAATCTAGATAATCGATGCTGGGCTCTGAGGAGCGTCGGTGTCGCCTCAGGCTTTTTGGAACCCCTGCGGCAGCTGTGGACAGGTAGCCAGGAGTGCTCAGGCCCGACGGGGCCCGGGCCTGATCCCGCAGTGGGACCTTTGCATACACTCCTGTGAGGTCCACCGGCTTGGGTTCAAGAGGCCGTTCCATTTGAATGTCTTCATCTTTAGAACGGTCTAAGTCAAAGTCGCTCAGGGTTAAGAGGCCTTCCACCTCAGGCTGGTCGAGGTCATAGTCACTGAGGGTTAACACAGAGTCCATGCTTCTGCTACCCTGACCAAGTTTCTTCACCAAGTCACTACAAGGAGCATCGACATCCTCATTTAGCTCATTTTCCAAGCTGTCATAGGAGGAGTCGTTCAGTTGGAAGCAAGAGATATCTGTCAAAAAAATCAAACTATAATTAACATTTTTACTTACCGAAATTGCATGCTGTGTTAAAAAAAGAAAAAAAAAATCTATGTTAATTTAATTCTCCTTTCATATAGATTGTTCATATTCGTACTCTCAAGAAAGAAAGGAACTTTCTTTCTGTCTTCCCAGAATTAAAAAAAAAAATGTTGCATTATACTAAATTTAACTCCGTTCCTGAAGAAATAGGCTTTCTTAATTAAGATTTCCTCAAAGCAATGAGGACATGTTGTAATACCAAGAAATGGTAAAAAAGACAAAGGAATTCATGCCGGGTGTATCCAGGTTCAGGAGCTGCTTGCTGGTGAGTGCACACGATTTAGTCTCAGAGAAACCTTACTAAGCAAAACTCTTTACCATTCACTACTTTATCTAACCTTCACAACAACCATAGAGGTTACATATTATGGTTACCTATATTTATAGTTGAAAATATTCATGTTCTGTGGCCTAGAATAACTGGTCAAAGATAACCTAACTAGTAATTCTGGAAGGTTGAATGGTTTCAAAATTGCCCCAGGCCCCACAGTGCTGGTTGTTTCTAAACTGCTGCTTGGCTGGAGTGTCTCTGGGCCGCTCGGAGGAAGGAGGGGGAAGAAGAGCAGGCCTGCCTCTCCCTGCTGGGCTTCTCATGCCAGTTTCAGCCACAGCAGTGGTACTGCAGACATTAGGGACCTTTGTAAAGATTTTTTAAAAGGGCAGAAACATACCAGATGATGCTTCTGAAAGTTTTGGACCGCATCTTACACATTGCTTAACCCCACCAGTGGTAACACTCAGGTGGTCCAGGGAGGAGCAGGGGCCTCCTTCCCTGAGCTGTGGCCCCCAAGACAGCCACGGCCCCGGCAAACAATGTTCCAAGCACTCACAGTACCTGACGTATTCTCTTGAGCATCACACCTCACTGAAACCTCTCCTAAGAGGGAAGTGATTTCTTCTCCGAATATCCTACAGCAATTTTCAATCAGAAATTGGATAAGCAGAGAAACCTGCATGAAAAAGGACAAAAACAAAGTGCTGCTTTTCATATATAGCACATCTACTAGTCACATTTCACATATAAATCCTGACTTTGCCAAAAATGAAAAAGAATCCTGAGAAAAATTCATGTCTCCTTTAAAAGTATATAGAACAGTTCCCCTTAAAAGGCAATGATACTTACAAGACTAGTTTGGACATAGAAATTATTTTTAATTGGTGGACTGAAGTCACCTGTTGCCTTAGCTCAGTGCTAACATATTTATACTAATGCTCGGTCTTTAAAATTAGGGTAACTTAAAGCATTCTTCATAGGGCATTTGGGGTGAAGCAATAAACTTCATTAAAATTCACGAAGTATCATTATTAGATAAAGACTTATGAAATGTATTTCCTATGTAAAAGGCAGTTGTCAGAAGTGTGGGAATTATGCATCCTCTGTGGGTTTCTTGTAAAGTAGAGAGACAGCTAGAGAACCCCTGCATTCTGCCTCACTAGTCTCTACCTAGGCATTTCCCTCCCTTAGGCTCCCTGGAGGAGCTTGGGGAAGAGGTAAGATTTTACTGGAGAGCTTTGCACCTCCACTGGGATGTACTGGAACCTTTCCTTAGCTTCCTTGCCCCAAGAGACAAGGCAAAGGAGCAGGCAGAATGTTGGGAGCAACGGGAATCAATATCCCTAAGCCCCATGTTAACTACCAGGCGCTAGAGGAGTATGATTTCAGATACTTGAACTAGGTAGTATCACTACCTCCATTTTTTAGATGAGGAAACTGGATCAATGTAATTAATTTCACCCAAGATTGTACATCTGGCAAGTGGTGGGGCTGAGGAATGAATCTTGGCTTATCTAAGTCCAAAGTCCTTTTTCCTATACTAAAATATATCAATTGCTTTCTTATGACTCTAAGGGTGAAGTCGGTCATGGCGTTTTTGCCTCCTTAAAGGGAAAAGAGAAGTAACCCAACTGCTATCACTTTTTTGCTTAAGAGATCACCTTTCTATAATCTATCAGGATAGGTAGGTAGGTATAAAACATAGGTATAAAACACTCAATGCACTCAAATTTCTAAGGAGGTGTATTTAAGTTATTTAAGAAAATGTGTTTCAGAATTAACACCCTGAATTTTAGGTTCGAGATGGGGACTCAATCCCCCAGGGCATAAAAATGAGAAACCTCATTACCTTTTTTGTAAATTCATTTTCTAGTTCTGGGCTGCAGGAAGTAGGAGGCCACAGAATGCTTGGAGCTATACACACCGCTAAATTGAATGCAGTCATCTGATTGGACGAGGAACACTGCTCAATGTTGTGTAATATCCCAAAAAGATACCTTAGGAGAACAACATTGGCTCTCGGGAGCTGGTCTAATAGCCTAAAGACAGAAAAATGCACTCTTTAATAAAGACATTCCATAAGAAGCTTGCGTCGATTGGCAACCCTGGGTTTTCACAGGGAACCACGCAAAGCAAGAACCCGGTTCAGATACGTGGGGTTTCAGATAACATCGCACATGCAAAGTAAGGGCTACCTGTACACAGAGAATGCGAATACACACTGGGGATTCATTTATTTATTCCGTACACTGTCTTCACAACCCAGCAAAGATGTAAAAGAATGCAGAAAAACAGCCTGTAAAAAAATGCTGCCTGAAATATGTACCTGAAATTAGTACAATGTGTTTTAACTCAGGCAGATGCTGTAATGTTTCAGGATATTCTCAACCAACCCCCCACCTCCCAAGAGCTTTTTGATGAAATTAAACACTTAAATTTTAGTGGTTCTTTATTTCCAAGTAGCAACACAGGAATGCAGTCCCTTGGTAAGAGCCCAAACCTTCACTACTAAGACTTTGAGATCCATCTAGAGCTGACGCTCTGTTCCACCAGCTTCCAAGGCCAGATTTCATCCCAAATATCTTTATCTCATTGGTATCACTTTCACATATATAAGTCAAGCTTATACTAGTACATTTCCTACTGTTTCTATTTTGTAATTGATCAGGGATCTTAAGATTATCACTCACTGAAAATTATTTTTACTATTATCCGGTAAAGAGATGTATATGTTGATACTCATGGTTGTTTTTTCCCCAACAGAAGTCTGCAACCTGGCAGAGAAAGTAAGGCGATCTGACTCCTGCTGCATAAAAAGCCCAGAGGCATTTCTTCAAGTGTGATGGACTGACACTGAGTATGGTTTTGTACAGACAAATTATCAAAAATATTGAAATAAACCAAAAGATTGCTGAGTGTATTCAATGGAGAGTAAGGTATTGTCTAGCATAAGCTTCTGGGTTATCTGATTCCCCAGAGGCCCTATGCCTTTGAGCTATTTTATAATTCTGTAAATTGTAGATTACTGACAGCAGTATACCTAACATTTGTCTATGGACTTGACAATTCCGTCTGGTGGCGAGACAAATGATTTATTTGCTTCCCCTTCACACTACAGCAGAAAAAGCCAGTTTTGCATTCATATGTAAATTCATTTCAGCATTTCTGATTCAACTACATAGGTGTGGTAGTCTGAAATCTCCTTTGAACTGATGGTAACATCTTACTGGTTCTCTCATTAATTAAAGAGTTAAATAAAAATTTTCACATGTGTTCATTTTATATTTGTAGGAGTCTTTCTTGAAAAAAATTTTATTTTGTGTTTATTTTTTCAGAGAGAGAGAGAGAGAGACAGAGTGCAAGTGGGGGGGGGGGGGCGAGGCAGAGACAGAGGGCGACACAGCATCTGAAGCAGGCTCCAGGCTGTGAGCTGTCAGCACAGAGCTTGATGCAGGGCTCGAACTCATGGAACGGACCATGAGATCATGACCTGAGCTGAAGTCAGATGCCCAACCAACAGAACCACCCAAGCGCCCGTATATTTGTAGGAGTCTTAATTTTACTGTTTTTTTAATCATCCTTTAACAGTTTGTAGAATATAAAATTTTAGACAATGGGCAACGAAGTAGAGAAGCTGATGTTCAAGATCTCTGAATGACTTTCACCAAACCATAATGGAAGCATAGAGATAGCATGTGTGATGTGGCTTTGATTTCTAGCATATCAGAAGTTGTACTATGTTCTACTGATAGATGTCTATCAATAGCAGTAGATAGGTAATAATTCATATTTGAAAGCCGCTCAAGGAAAAAAAAACTGTACTAAACAAGCAAATGCAAATAAATGATTTTGGGATTCCTGGGTTTTCACAGAACTGGAGTACTGCATTTTGGACACTTCTTTCCTATTCCCTTATAAGGGCAGGAAGCGATCGGAATACCAGCTGTGAGTTCTGCCAGCAACCTCTCTTCGCAGGAGAAAAGACAATGCATTCTTTGTGATAAGACTAAGGTTGTGCAACTCCCTTTTTCTGTGACACTTTCAACAATTAACTGTCTCTCTCCAGTGCTCCCACAATACCTCTTTCACATTTCTCTTATAGCACCCATTATGCTACACTGTGATTCTTGGTTTACCTACCCACTCTACTAGACAGTGAGTTCCTTGAGGGGAGGGAATTTTCTCTGTGTGAATTCAGTTGCTGAATGAGATATACGAGGAGTTGTCTGGTTAGTTAAATATTTACCAAAATTAAGATCACAGATCATAGATTGAGTCTACAGTATTATTGGTTTAATGGGTTTCAGCTCCTATCAGATTCAGATACACAGGAGGTGTACAATGGTCAAGCATTCCATGTGACTAAGATTAGGGGAGAACAATAATAAATGATAGCAGTTAGCATAAATCTGTTTTTAAACTGGCCCTCATAGATCTGACTTTGCTAGTCATCATTACTTGAATAGACAAGCTTATAAGATAGAAGTTATTTTTTAAGTATTTTTGAGACATGACCAAATTAGAAGAATTACCTTTGAATTGTATTTATTTTCTCTTCATCATTTCCTTGATCCATTACACAGACCCAATGATCATAGAGATCTGATGAAAAAATACTTCCTGGAATATTTCGCAGAAAATCCTTACACAGGAGGAAAAATAAATATTTTAAATCATTATTCTCATGCTAAATATGTACTGGGGAAATCAGAAAGCAAGCGTTTTGTTGAAAAGTTAAGTCCTCCCTTCTTTGGAATATACAGAGCTCTGTGCCCACTCTACTGTCGTGCACACATAAGAAACACATGCTTTGATTTTTTCTAACAAAAAGCAGAGGCAAATTGGAGTCTGGACTGTAGTGGGAAAGATAAGGACAACCTGTTTGGGCTGAAGTCTCCTTTGCATACATGTTAGCATGTGACAGGGGTCTGGCAAACCATCCCAAGTCCTTTTCTTCCCTCTCAAATCTCCAGTTCCAAGAAATGCACTGACACATTTGTGAGGTTCAAAACGCCATAGTCCGTCATCCTATCGCTCTACACACATGTGCTCCTGTGTGCCAGGTGCTGTTCGAGGTGCTAGGGATAGAGAGGTGAAGAAAACAAAGCCCAGCTCCATCCAGAGGTACTTAAGAGTTTCCCCTGGCACTCCCTTCCCACATTTGGGAAGGAGGGGAGACAGCGTGCTGGACCAGGCCTGGCCGGGCTCTGGGAGCATGGGGCCGCACCCACATGCCTAGGGACACTAAGCACGTCCCTAGTACATCATCCTTTCTGACCTTTGAGACTCCCATCTGCTGAGACTGCTGGCAGGGCTGGGTGTGGTGAAACCAGACTATAATGTGAGTAGGATATGACCAAAGGTATTTGTTGTTTGACTTTTGTTTATAAAAAGCTTAAAAATAAATTAAATTTGGGCCTGGTCCTATATTCATTTCTGTTCCCGGCCAACTCTCTCTGTTGCTTTTGGCATGGCATTAACAGGGCCAAGCTTGCAAAGTCTGATCTCTACCTCAATAAACCTCAGGCAGAGAAAACTCAATTTCATGTCTCAGCACTGCACCCATGGTTGACGAGCCTCCTGCAAGCACCCGCTAACAACACAGAGAAGGTCAAAGTCAGCAACACTTCAATTTTAACTCTGCCTGCAAAACCAAGTCAGTAGCTTCACCCAAGTGCCTACAGAAGGCACACATGTTACTCACGTGCCATGTTTGTTATCACTGATAGGGAGGCTGTGGTATCTAATTGTTACACTTAGGGGATTAGGTGTGCATCTTCCCCAGGATGAGCTCCTCCAGGGCATGGATACACCCTCAACTTCTTCTTGGTGCACCGCAATGCCACACAGTCCCAGACAAAGTAGAGGTCATTACTGAACTGTTGCTAGTTTTCACATGGTCAAATATTGAAAATATTGGCAAAGGAAGGCCAACTAACTGTACTTGAGATTCTAAGATAATTTAAAACACCCCTTTGTAGTGATGTTACCTATTATACATTTTTTAAAAAGTGGCTAACAAGTAGGAAGAGATTGCTTCAAAGTCTTTCTCTGTTCTATTACATCTTCCGTAGAAGTGCACCTGCATAAGTGTAATTCAGATGTGTCATCACAGGACAGTTATCTCCTTTTGGGTAAAGCTACTGAATTTTCATAATTCCAAACTAATTTTAGTTGCTGCACCTACTTTAAAAGTCAGATTTAGAAGAGGCAAATTTTGTTATTTCAAAGTGGGGCAGTGACAATAGCTCTCTTTTTAAATCTCAGTGGAAAACATACCTATGATCTGTCTTGAAGAAAAACATCATTAAATCTTAAACCTACACTTGAAAGATAATAACTTGTAACATCTCAATGAACTCTGCACAGCTGGCATAACAAGTTACGAAATACGACCACCATCACAGCCGGGAAAGGATGTGAGAGCTGGTTCTGAATTACAATCACCAGCTCACAGCCCTCCAATGAGTCTCCTTCCCTCCAAGAGCAGAGCCCAGGTCATCAGCAGAACTCCCAAATTAATTTGAGATGAGATTTCTCTAGGATTAAAAGGGAACTCTTCCTCAAAGGTTCGAAGGATCAAAGTTACAGTGTCTCAAGCAATTTTCTTCCAATTACAGTTTAAAGAGTTAAGCTTGTATTTAAGCAAAACCAGCCTAAGTAAAAAATAAAGGAAAACTTAAGTACCACTTCCAAATAGTCTTCAACACAAGAAACAAAACAAACCAAAAGTTGAAAAACTTTTGGCAAAAAGTATCTCCTTTCCTGCAACCACTTGGAAGAAATGAGAGTAAAACACAGTTACGTGATTATAAAACTTCAATTACTTGGAACCCATTTAACCAGATGTTTCAATCATTTGTCTTTTGCTTATTTTTGTACAAGTGTTATTTCTGCAATTGGAGATACAATTTGACTCCTCTAGAATCATATTTCTTGATAAAAGCCTCAAAAATTTAGCACAAAATTTTAAGTGTGGTGCTGTGAAGGAAGAACAGCATGGTAAGGAAAATTTTCTAAAACGTAGGCTTTAACCTCTTAAGAGATGGAAGAAAGCCAATTACATGATAAGAAAAAGAAAATTCCTTGTGCCTATCTACCCCGCACACACGCCTGGCTAAGCGCACCACACATACGTGTGTTGTATTTCAGGAGTGAAGAGGAGTGACAAACTGTGCAAAGCACATGAGATGACCCTAGCTCCAGCTCTCCAGGTTTTGTGAGTGATGCTTTTTTGCAAAAGCCTACAGCAGGGGCTGAGAGCAGACACGGCTCATGTGCCGGGAAACACGTGACTGTTCCTAAAGTCATGAAGCAAGCAGCTGACCAGGAGGAGGGACATGGAAGGGTCTTCCTCCCCGCCTGGCCTCTGGCTGGGGCCCCGCTGAGTTCCAGTTGGGCTGGGAGACGGGAGCCTGAGGCGGGGCTGCAGAGGCTGTCGCTGCGGCTGAAGCCTCTGCTCCGAGCTGGTTCTGACTCTAGGTGTTCAAAAAATGTGAGGCGTTTTCAAGAATGTGGGGAGGAAAACATTCTAGAAGAGCTCTAACTCAGCTATGGATGTGAGTTAAATAACCATGGGGTGAAGGCTAAGAACCATAACAAATGCCAAATGCAGTAAGGGTTTTATAAAAAACCCAGATGTCGGAGTCTTTCCTACTCCACTTTCACTTTAAAAAGGCACTAGGGGACAGGGGAAGGCTTGGTGATTGTAAAAGTGAATGGGATTTTCAGCGGTCTCGGAGAAATTTTTTGTTTTTGTTGTTCGACAAATGCTTATTATGATAAACTCTGCTTCAAAGTTTAATACAGGTTTCTTTTTGAAAATTTGCCTTTATTAGGAAGGTAATGAGACTGTGAAGAAGTCATCATAATCAGGATGTTTATTTTGGTAAATATGCCACACGTATTTTGGTGATTTTTAATTTTATTATTTTTGGTATGGGGCAGCACAGTGATGGGGGGAGCGGGGTGGAGTGAGAAGACATACAAGCACATCTGACACACCAATTCGCTGGCAGTGGCTTTTGAGGGCCAGTGTTGGCTTTGTGAAGTGTTTTTAACACTTCTTAGATTCTAAATCTATTACGGTTCTTTGCAGCTGGGAAAAATGTTGTCATGGGAGGAACCAGTCATGTTTCTCCAGAGCTATGGCAGGGATAGATGAAGGGAGAACCTTTCCTACCTTTAAGACAGATGCTATCACAAAAATAGATTCACAGTCTAGGTGTACTTCAACTCCAGAATTCAGTTTCTCTTTTAACTCTCTGCAGGATTTCACATTGGCCGACTGTCGGAAGATACCTTTTGTGAGGGGTCCTTTTTGATTAAGAAAGAAAAGCATATCCTATAAGGAAGCAAAGGAAAAAACCAAAATGGCACTTCACACATACAAGCATGGGAACACATACCTGCCCTCTCTGGCTGCCAGCGGTGAGGAAGGCCCAGGGGAAGAGTGGTGAAGGAGGAGCTGCTAGAAGGACTCAATTGTTTGTTTTTTGGTATCTCTAAATCTTTTCCCCCTGTTTTTTCCTTGCTATATGCAGCATCTAAAATATTTTACTTCACTGACATTGTCTTTTCTTCAATGAACCAACAACAACCAGCCGCTTGAAAATCAAATTTCTCTGACTGCTTCACGGTCCCTTGTAAACTTGTCTCTCTCTCCTTACCTCACTACCCTTTGCCCTTTATTCTCTAATTCGGACTCTTTCCCTGAATATGGAAATATCCTTGCCAGACTCATTCTCCACTCACTTGTCTTTCTTCCTTATTCTACTTCCTGTATTTACGTCATTCTTTTAAAATTCAGCTACAAAGAAAAAAAATCACCTCTTCCAGGAAGCTTTCCCCGCTCCACTGCATCATGATCAATGCTTCATTTTGCTTGCTTTCTAGCAGAGAAATTTCCTCTGCTTGCAGTGTAGGAAGGAGGGTGGGTGTTGGGGACAGGCAATCCATGGGACCAGAAACCTGCGTGACCTCTGGTAAACTTGAAGCTTTTATTTTGTTTAATTTGTAAAGCGGGGGCCAGGGTAGTGATACTAACTGCTAACTCTGCTGTGAGGCATAAGCCCATAAAGCGGCTAGAGAAATGTATGGCATGTTACGAGTGCACAATACAGGGTAAGTGCTATGCATCTTGATAGTGGACACTCAACACAGCGTCCCTGCAGTGATCATTTCACAGAGCAAGGAGACAGGACAGACTCAGTGGTTTCATCTGACCCATTCTATTTATGGAAGGCAACTAAATGCCAGAGGATGTATATGTGTAAACACCTGAAGCACAAATATGACACACGCCAGATTTTTAACAAGTACAAAAATGGGTAGTTTCTGTTTCTAGGGTGACTAAAGCAAACTTCCAGAACAACGCAGAGTTCAAGAAAGACCGTGAGAGAAATGTGAGGGTTAACGGGACTCTAGCGTGGACTCTGCCTACAGAGCGAACTGTGTTTAGGTGAGCAGACTTGTGTGGCTTTTTCCTGGAACCAGCAGCCGACACGCTCTCTCCCTATTATGTGTTCCTTATGATTCTGCAAGAGCTTAATCAGACTTTATTCTATGAAGTAATAATATTCTCAACCAAAGCCTTGGGTGTCTACAATTTTTCTACTTAAGAACAGAGTTTCCCTCCCAGAGCTCTCGTTTCCCGTTAGTGTCACAGGCCAAAACTCACCAAGACAGGTTTGGGCAGATTGTCGTTCTCACAGATATTTGGCAGAGAAACTCCAAAGAGCTGCCCCGGCAGAGGGGATGTTGGTGACACAGGCAAGTTATCCAGATGAATGCTAGACCCCCGCCAAAAGGCCCAGTTTATGAGAGACCTTCTCCTTTTAAATGTCTTCTGTCCTGAATCTAAGGAAGAAGTGAGATTATGAGAAAAACTCTTTTATTCACTTAACCTGACTTTTATAGTTTCCAACTCACAGTATGTTCATTACTATGGTTCAAAGAGGAAAAAAAATGCTTACAGGTGTCCTTTGTTACTGATAATTCAATCAAAGAAATTTCACTGTAACATTTTATAAATTAAGGAAAAATCAAACATTTGGGTTATTCTCCATCCCAACTTTGGAACATCACTGGTCTATTTACTTGAGCTTTGACACTAGGCCTTCAAAGACAAAGAAAAGCCTCCCTTATTGAAATATAACAACTTAAAGCAAAAATTGTTTCATATGTACACATATATCATACCATTTTAAAATGAGACCATGCACACAAAGAAGCTGAAGATTAAACCAAACCACAACTAAATGGTGAGAAACAGAAGGGAAGAGGAAGGAAAAGGAGAAGGGAGAAAATGAGAAGGGGAAGAAGGAAGAAGAGGAGGAGGATGGAGAAGAAGGAAAAAAAACAAGAGTTGTCTTTATTCAGATGTTCTTTACACATAAATGATGCTTTATTACTTGATGCCCCTCTCTACAGCTAAAAACAAAGACAGGAAGCTAATGCTGTACATTCCCCCCACTTCTTTCCAACTGCAAAGACTTTTTCTAAGGTATCTTTTTAGTTCCTGACTTTAAAAAGCATATTTAAGGCAGCACAGATGGGTGCAAACTTGCGTGAGACTTGCCCTTGCCAAGGTGAAGTTGATGATCTAATGGGGGAACAAGTCTGGTGGTGGTGGGGGGGAGCAAGTATATTAATAAACAAAATCTCCTAAGGGAAGGACAAAGCACCAAAGGCATTCAGAAGAATGGTAAAGCACATCTACCCATTGAGGGGGAGGGAGTGATCCTGGAGGCATTTGCATTTGATTTGGATTTTGAATGAACAAAATTTCAACAAGAGCACCTGGCATCATGGCTCGCACCCTGTAAGTACTCAATAAATCATTCTCTAGCAGTAACTGAATTGAGAGATTTAGCCGGAAAGGGACAGCGTGAACAAAACAGGCAGAAGAAAGGTCGACAGTGAATCATGACTGTGAGGTCATAGCGCTAAAACATTTTTGATGTCATCTGTATCTAATTTTAACCTGAAAGTTGATGGATTTGCACACGATCCGATACATAAAAAGACAGCTCTCTAACGTTCCTTTGGACCCCTCCACTGCGGTTCCCCAACCCCAGCACATTACACATTGGTAACAATGATAAACTCTAGATGAAATTTTAAAATACGACAGCCTACCTAAAGGCAGGAAACAGTGACCAGAAGACAGCGGGTAAGTAAAAGTGTGACGCTTACAAGAGGGGATGGCACAAGACAGCTTTCCCAGGTTCACAGCTTTTAGCCTGAGGACAGGCTCCAGGGCGGTAGGGTCACTGAAATCTGCGGAAACCTGCACTCTCGCTGGCTGGAAGAGCTACAGAATGGAGATGGGGGGAACCACAGCAGCTGGAGTGTGTGTGTGTTTGGGGAATCCCAGAAAGGAGAAAAATGAAGAGTGGGAGCCCCAGATATCGTGTCTAGGTTCTGCCCTAATCTCTGGCTGGCCCACCAGACACACACGTGTGAGGCAGATTCAAAACGGCTTGTGATGAAGACTCAGAGAACAGAGGTCTGAGGCGGGAGAACCCTCAGGTGGTGCCCACACAACATCGGACGCTATTTTCTCCAGGAAGAGTGCAGGGCGATTAGTCACCCGACTGTGCCGCGGGGCACCACAGCCGAGCAAGCTACCACGGAGGATGGTCAGCTGCTCAACATTGCCTAAGAATGGGACATTTAAAGGGGACTGTCCTTTCAGGGTGGAAAAGGTCGTAAGTGTCAAATAACTAATTTCAAATGTGTTTTCTAGAAGAGTTTTATATTTTTCGGCTATTATGTCCTCAGAAAAACCAACTTAAAACCAAATACCACAAAAGCCAACTGTGGGAAGACAATCATACAAGTGACTTCTTACCAAATGGCCTCAGACCATCATCCACCGTTGTCTTCCTTAGAATACAGTAAGTGCCTCATCAGTGTACAGATATCCAGGTGCGAAGGTCTGTGGCTCTGGAATCAGGAGCCCAGGGAGACTCCTGGTTCAGATATTTATTTGGGCAAGTTACTTAACCTTATGACCTACAACTCAAAGCCTTGTCAAGAGGATTAAATGGATGTTAAAGTACTGCTTTACAAGGGTATGGGCCACAGCAGTTTTGATTAAAACTGCAAAGTCCTCCACCTCCTCCCCAGAAAGAGGACCCCCTCCTCTTTCCATTATCCATTTAGTGAAACACCCTTTGGGAATGTGCAGACAGAAAGGAATACCAGACTCTGCTTAACTAGAGCACTTCCTGCCTTGACATTCCCAACCTTCACCATTTTAAAGAAACAGAAAAGGAAACCAAACCCATCCTTAAACTCAGGAAGGGGCGGGGGGGGGGGGGGGGGGGGGGGTCCTGTGTTTACCAATGTCAATCTGCAAATGTTTGTTTAATATGTATGTTCATATATGTTGAGTAGTTGTACTCAGTGTACTTTCCTTGCATTTAACCTGTTTTCGTTACTTCTAAAACTCTCAGATTTATTTAACTTTTTAGCTTTCCAACATTTAGGAAAAATGCTTCACCATGAAGTTATATACCCAGCTATCCTATGAGTGTTGACAGAGGATAAAGCAGAAATGGAGTCCTGTACTTCATTATAAATACTTTCAGCTGCGGCCATGCCTTTTGTTATGTACAACATTCAGTTTTAGAGTTCATGTTCACTCTGGGACCGAGAGAAAAACATTTTCATTAAAGTTTATTTTCTTGCAGAGATTTTAATGCATAGCTCTTACTTTCTAAACGTCAAAGGCTGATGAAAAAACATGCGATTGCTATAAAAAATATAAGGGAGATGTAATTGTAGAGCAAACTAAATTTGAATAGATTGAGCTTTACTGAACAATCCCAGCAATGTCCAAGCTATTGTTTCTTCATGCTTAAATTAGGGATCTGAATGTTAAAAATTACAATTCTTAAAAGTCTGTGCTTATAAATTATTACAGAAAAATAATTTAAAAGATCCCTTAGTTAGAAATCTAGCAAGATGGAAATATAGGAAGGTCCTAAACTCACCTCCTCCCACAGGGACACGAGTCTACAGCTAGATATGGAACAACTTCCTCTAAAGAAAGCTAAAAACGGCTGGAGAAACGCCTTCATACTGGGAAAAAGAGGGAAACCACATCAAAGTGGGTAGGAAAGGCTGAGGTACAACCTTGTCATAAACTCTACCACTGACATGGTGATCCACAGTTGGGAGGAAATTCAAAATCTGGAGCTTCTCCCTGAGGAGTGCAGCGTTCATACCCCACACACGAGGCATCCCAGCTTTCAAGACTGGCACCTGAGAGAGGAGTCCCCAAAATGTGTGGTTTTGAAGACCACTAAGGCTTACACTCACAATACCCACAGGGCGGTAACCAACTGAGGAATGGCTTTTGAAATGTCCACCTGCAGATTCACTGGCCCCACTGCCCAGTGCAGAAGCGGCTCTTTGTAAAGCACCCATACTTTATCTGTAAGGGACTCATTTCCTAATTTTAGAACACTGGTCTGAGGGTTAGGGACCCACCGGGACACTCTATAGGGATGGAGGCTTCCTGCTCTTCCTCTGCCTTGCTAAAGCTAACAGGTACCATGTATATACATTTTTCATACACACACACACACACACACACACACACACACACCTGGTTCCTTTATGTGATTTTATCTTTATGATCCTTATGTTCCAGCGGGTGGGCATCATCTTCCACGCTCTCCCTCTGCCTAACTAAAGCTGGCAGGTGCCATTTTTTCCCCCTTCCTTTTTCTTTTTCTTTCCCTTTCAGCCCTCCTTCAGCCTTCCTTCCTTCCTTCCTTCCTTCCTTCCTTCCTTCCTTCCTCCCTCCCTCCCTCCTTTTTTTTCCTTTTCCTTTTTTTCCACTTTTTTGGGCAGGTGCTGTTTTTACACTCCCCGTCTGCCTTGCTCCAGCCAGTGGATGCCATTTTCATGCTCTTCCTCTCCTGGAGATACACATGTCTGGTGACCAGTTTTGACAGGTTTTTGTGGCTTTCACCCAGGGGATGCCCAATGACTGCCTGGTACTGGAGGCCACGGTGACTTGCATTCCTATGTCTCATGAAACTGTAAGAATCAAAGATGGTTCCTGGTAGACTATTACACCCAGAGCACTGAAGACAGCAGACTGAAACACACCCCCATCATTTCTGTGAACGAGGCCTACTTGCCAGTCCTGAAGATTCAGCTTTAGGGACAAGCTTCCGATTTGGCACACATCTAGAGGCCATGAAGGTATTCTCAGGGAACACAGGATGGTGGATACATTTTTGCACTTCCCCTCTGCCTCTTTATAGATCACCGGTATCTCCCAGAAAGCTTATACTTTTATCTGGAACCCTGACTTTTGCTACTGTTGCCCAGGGGACACCTTCAGATGGCCTGGCTTTAGGGACCAGCAGGTTGTATGCTTGTGGTCCCAAAGGACCACATATATTTGCATTCTTTAAAAGCTGCTGCCTGGAGGTATGGCTTCCAATCAGCTTAAATATAGGTGCTGAGTGAGATCCTCCCCCTTTGGAACACTGACTGGTCTTGGCACACCCTCAACTACTGGGAGCTATTGACAGTAAGACAGGCTGCTTGGACAATCACAAAGGTTTCAGAGACAACCAAGAGCCAGGGCAGGGGTGAATGTTAAGGTTCATCTCCTACACAAGGCTGACACTTAAAGACTGGGAGAAGTAGCTGTATAGAATTTAATCTATAGAAACCTGTACAGAGAGTTAAGCAAAATGAAGAAACACAGGAAGATATTACAAACAGAAGAAAAAAACCTCAAAAAAAAATTAATGAAGTGAAGGTAAGTAATGATAAAGAATTCAAAGTAATGACCATTTAGATTCTCACTGAACTCAGAAGAAGAATGG